CCATCCAGTTCTGAGCCAGGCATGTGTGAGTGGAAACAAACAAACAAAAAAATTCTCATTATAAATATGTAATATAAATAACTGCCCAATAAAGTAAATTTTTGTTTTTTTTCCTTTTCACATATGCAGCGCCCACCACAGCTACGCCAACAGGTAAGGCTGAGCTTTTGGAACAGGAGTCCCAAAATTAGCTCTGTAAAGAGTCTCCTCAGTGCTCAGAGCCTAATTTTTAACTCAAAAAATCATGTGGTTACAGCTCCTTGGCAGACACTTTTCTACCAAGGCACATGCTCTGAATTACAAGTTATTGTTCTAAATTACTATTTATTCACCCACTGCAACATTATTCCTTTATATTTTTATTATTTCTTTGCATTGTTAGTACAAACTGTATTTGCCACTTAGCTACTAATAATTACTGAAAACATGAGGCAAGTCTTTGCACTCCAGGTCTAAGTTTCTGATTCTTTTTTTCTGCTGAAATAATCATAACACACTGTACAGTGTTAAAGTACAGACTCTACTAATGTTTCTTGGGATTTCTAGATGTAACTCATGCTTTTCATAATACACACAGAAGAGCAGGTGTTAAAATGTGGTTTTCTACTATATAGAATCATGAGTATATGTTATTATATATAACACAGAAATGAAAAGCTGGTTCCCAAAACCATTTCTTCTTAAGGTTTTAACACAGTAGCAACTGTGACAACTACCACAGAACCCCTGAGTCCTGCTGGCAAAGGCAAGGTTAAAAAACAAGCTGCAAATGTCATGTGTGGAAATTTTGAGCAACAGGTGTGGATCGTTTAAAGCAGGCAGGAGGAACACAAGTCTCCCAAATTCACTTACAATGAAGTGAACTGGAAGATGCTGTTCAAGTCCAGGGATTTAACTTTCTTTCCCATGAAATCCAAAGTGGGAACCATGTCCCAGATCCTTGCAATGTCTCTGCAGGATCCCCCCCTGCTCCCAGCTCAACCCCAGCACAGACTGAGACTCCTCCTGCTCCAGAGACCACGGCAACCCACAGGGAAGGTGAGGCACATCTGGGGGCTGGAAGTCACTCCCAAAGCACAAGACAAATCTCATGTTTTATTCTCCCTCACAATGGCTCCTTTGCACCTTTCCAAAGGATTATTGCACCTCTAGGAGTGAAGCAATGCAGTCAGGAACAGCACAAAGACTGACTGCCTTTGTTAATAAATATTAAATGGGGTAAAAGTAATTTTTTTGTAATCAAAAATGCTGTGCAATGACTCATTGTCTCACAAAGCCCAAATTTATTTACCTTCATCGAGACTTTCATTCATGTGTTCACTCCTAATTGCTGCCAATCTCTCTCTGTTTTGTATTTTCTCAACTGGCCACAGATGTGTCTTCTACACCCTCTCCTGTCACAGAGGAAATGACCACATTAGCTCCTGATAGTCCAACCACAGCTTATGACGGTAAGAACAGCCATTTCACATGTGTTTTTTGAAGCAAACACTCTGTTAATTTGGGGTTTTCAGCCAAATTAAGATGAGACCATGGAAATCTGTAAATACTCATAGCAGACAATATAGTTGTCCTTAGTTCCTCTTTTGTGAAGGAACAATCCTATGACAACACCTTCACTTGAAAAATATCTGCCTGTCAGGACAGGCAGGGATATGTTCACTTACTGATTAAATCCTCTGAGTTGTACCTGTAAAGAACACACAAATTTGTAAAGAAAAACTGTCCAGATGATTGCAATTCTGTGTGTCCAAAATTCATAAAAGCTCTAGAAACATTAAGGACCACAGACTGACATTTGCACTCATTTCCCCCTGCTGGGGGATGAGCCTCTCCAGTTATTCAGCAGATTGATAATCATGGAATGGTTTGAGTTGGAAGGGACCCTAAAGATCATCTGGATCCAACCCTCTCCCATGGGCAGGGATATTACCCACTAGATCAGTTTTTTATTAAACCTGAGACCTAAATCAAGTCACAAGCTGTTAAAATCACTCTTGAGCTTTTAATTTCTGCTTTCAGCCATTTAATTTCTCTTTCAGCCTTCCTCTCTTCTACCACCCTCATCGAGGAAAGCAGCACATCAGAAGCCCCAGTCACACCACAGACAGGTAAAGGGCACTTGCACAACGTGCAGCAGGTCACAAAAACATGTTTGGGACAGGGCTTAAGAAGGGAGAATCCAAAATATGCTGCAAAATCAGCATCTCTCCGTGCAGCTGATGTTTGTCTGTGAATTTGGCCACCCTGGCACTGAGCTGCTGCCAGCAGCCAGGTGGGAGATGCGGGTGCTGTGGGCAGAGGCTGCTGTGAGGATGGGGCACACTTTGTACCCACACCATGGAATCTGAAGGCGTTGAAATGCATCAAGAGCTTTTTGAAAAAATTATTCAAGAGCCGTACCTGAGTGTTCTTTCCTGTTTCCATGTTTCTCCCTTTTCTCTGAAAACACCTCAGAGCCACACAGGTTACCTGCTGCACTCGTATCAGAGGCGACAAGCCCGGCTGCAGAAGTCCTCTCCACGCTGCCTGAAGGTAAGGTACAGACACAATGCCATAAAATCCATAACAGGCCTTGAGTTTGTTCAAAATAAATTGCATTGATAGGATTGAAGTCAATGAACAAACCTCAAGATCAGTCAATTGCTGGCTCATTGACTCAGTGAAGAAGCAAGGCTGGGGATGGAGGCTGAACCAGGCAGGATTTAAAGGATGGGAAAAAACAAACCCTTAAATTACAAACTATCCCAGACAAATTAGGCTCTGTCACTGTTATATCTAAGCCCTGATTTCCTATAAAGAGGAAATGCTGTAGGTCTCAGAGGAAAACTATATAGCTAAAATGCAGACAATATTTAATTTCACCTTTTTGTTCTGTATTAAGTAATGCAGCATTACTCTGGCTTATATGCTACGGGTCTTGGTGGAAAAAATATA